CTGCTATTTATAAACAGAACAAAGTGTCGTGGATTAACGGTATCTACCATTTTTCCTTGAAGCCACCCGGAATGCGATTGCTGTTGCATTTGTCAAGTCAATTCGAGTTTTTAATTGTGAAGGTTCAGAGAAGGAATATTAAAGGTATGAACGATTTCTGCTATATTTTTCCACAAAGCTATTGGGAATGTGAGCATTTCACACTCAACAAATGAGAAATCAAAGAGGAACCCTTGTCTTCTTAAAAGTTTGTGTTGATAGGGAAGAAAAAAATACTTTCTAGATGCTTGCCAACTTTAAATAAAAAAATAAAAAAAATAAAAAGGAAAAAAAAAAAAAAAAAAAAAAAGAGAAAAGAAAAAAGAAAAAAGAAAAAAGAAAAAGGATGATAAGTCATGGTAATGCATACAAAAATCACATTGGCATGTGTGCTTTGTTTTTCGAGTCCTGCAATTGCTCCAAACGGTCCACCATAACGTAGGAGTAAGGCAGGTTGTTCATCATGTTCCTCTTTCTGAGAAGCTTCCTTGTTGATTCTGTTGACACTGCTATTTATAAGTTGGAAAAGCTTTCTTGTTGAATATTCTTTGGGAGTATCCAATTATTGCTTTGGATTTAGGATTGCAGAAAATTTAGTTCAATGGATTAACTAGATTTCTTTCAAGCCGTTGATTCAATGCTCCCAAACATAGCATTAGAGGTTTTTTTTTTTTTTTTTTTTTTTTTTCCGAATGTGAAGTTTCGGACGACTATCAAAGGCATGCCCGGCTACTTTTCCACTATTTTTCCACGACGCTGTGGAGAATGGGGAGCATGGCATGCTCACAAGTCAGAGAGATGTGGAATTGTGGCTTTTGGAATTTTCATTGAACTAGCTAGTCATTTACTCGGACCTAACTCTGTTTCAATTGCTCTTCAATTTGTCTTACTTTTGAATACCGTCACAGTTTCAACTAGTATATATGCTAATATGAGTAAGGTATTACAGCAACTGTACGCAACATTCAGTAATGGATATTGTGTGATTTATGAACTAGCCATACTCTCTCCTAACCATGGAATTATGGCACAGTAGCTAACGAATATAAAGTCTATATATCTATATATATATTTATATTTTTTGTTGAAAAAAAAATATAAAATGAATCATTTTTTTAAGAATTTTTTGGTGCTGCGTTTTGGTCTTGTGACTTTTGAGGTTTCCTCGAAGCATTTGGACTACTAGTGGATGAAGACTTTAGATGCCTTTCTAATGTTCATTTGGACTTTGTAGTACTAGTGGACCAAGACTTTAAACGCCTTTCTAATGTTCATTTGGACTACTAGCGGACCAAGACTTTAAATGCCTTTTTAAATTTCATTGAACCAGCCCTCTTCTAATTTAAGGACCACTCGATATATCTTGATGTCTTAAAGGGGGAAATTTGAAAACGTAGCTTTCGATGGTTTTATATATTAATATTAAATAATAATTAACAATTTTTATTTAAAAATTGTCTTTCTTCTCTTTTGAGATACGCAGTTACTAATGAATAATTTTTGCAATCGAGTTAACTGTTGAATTTTTTACAATAAATTAAATCACTAGTCTTTTTTTTTTTTTTTTTGGTGATATAGTTGATCTTATGTACAATTTCATCATTTTTAATTTTTTATAAACTTTTTTTGCAGCGATAGCTTATGCGTTGAAATAGAATGTAGTCAATTTACGTAATTTAATGTTTCAATTAGAGTATTTGTTTCTATTTGAAATATATATTTTTTTTTTTAGTGAAAATAAATTTAAATCACTAATATAATAAGACACATCATGTTTTAGAAAGAGTGTCAAATTAAAACAGTATTTTCTCAAATTATCGTCATCTAATTATTTTAACTTCTCAAAATTAAGCAAAAAAAAAAAAATTATTTTCATTTCGTTTGAATTATTCGAACCTACTATATATGAATTGATTGTTTTGGTCGCATACACAATAAATAATTAATTCCGAAAAATTCTTTAGCTGATTGAATGGTTCTAATCCGATTTCTTTTGGTGAAATAATAGCTAATGCAATTTCATTTTCTCTATATCTTGTAAGGTTGATTTCAATTTTTTTTTTTTTTTTAATTGGTGAGATTTATATGGACCACTCGCAAGTGCATAAATTTTAGCAGATAAGGTTTACTTGTAACAGTGTCGTACCCAAGAGACTTGTGTAAAATAAGTTTATGAACAGATTTCTTAAATTCCAAATTAACTTTAAGATAATCAGATTGTGATGATTTATTCTAAATTAATTTAGTAGAAAAATAAAATAAAAACAATGATTAAATATGATTGAGAAAATAGCGAGAGAAAACAAGGGATATGATTTCATCAATTTATTGGAGATATATCATAAAACTGAAGTGTATGTCACTGGCATTAACTGTTGGCCCAATTTCGATTGAAAATAAAAAAAAAAAAAAAAATTCCGTTAAAACAAATTCGTCAAAATTCTTTTTGAAAATGTGTCGATCAGTTTAACCTTTCGACTGTCCATACGGTCCAATAATCATCCACAAGCTAGTGGGTCTTCCATCTCACAAATTTGTTTTTGCTTGTCGAGTGCTTTGAGGGTACACTAGCTTGGTCATAAACTAAAAATCGAAGCTAATTTTTCTGGCCTTTCCTCTTCATAGCCCTACTTTTAGATGCTAAAAAAATGGTCATGTGACCCCCACATACAAAACACAAGCTGGTCCTAGCCTACATATTATGTAGTACCACTAGTTTCGCACAGTCGCACCTAGATAAAAATACCAGAAGCACAGTGCATGATCATACCATAATTCATTGTAATTTTGAAAAATATGAACATCAAAAGCCGAGAATCTCAAGCTAATTAACAGGTTTTTTTGTGCTGTGTATGAATACAACAAATCTACCTGCTCATTAGCCAATTCTAGGAGGGAATGCCCTCTCTATCTTTGTAATCTATTGCTATATTTTTAATGAAATTCCAACACCATTTATCAAAAACAAATCTACTAGCTTCATACAATACCTAAAAATAGAATACTCACAGATGAGTACATACCCTACAGTGATAGCATTATCAAGCAGGCCTTATTTATACTCAATAGCAATATGCAACATACTGAAACCAGAAGAAGATGCACCATTGTTGGATGAATTAAGAAGTAAAAGGCAAGGGATCTATTTCTTCATTGAAGCACGCCACTCATTGATATTAGCCGCTTGAATAGGATTCAGACTAGGAATTTCACGCCGTTGAAGGATTTCAAGAGTCTCTTCAGTTTCACCAAGAAGTTGAGCAGCACGCTGGACACTCTTCTCCCTCTTTTATATGGCACTGCGAAAGCATTTCATAGTTATGACCCGCGGTAAGTTAGTGAGGCAAGCACCCAATATATCACACTTTTTCTTAAAAATTTTGATGTTTACAAACTTGGAAAGGAAAATGTAATTTGTACATTTGTAATAATAATAATAATAACTTGTGAAACCTGACCGACCGTCCAAAATATTGATGTTTTAAAAATAAAATTTTCTTAAAAATTTTGATGTTTACAAAAATGGAAAAATAAAATGTAATTTGCATATTTGAGAAAAAAAAATAAAAATTTGACCCATGAAACTAGCCCATAATATTATGACCGGCCCAACCCCAACCTGTCCAAAATATTGATATTTTAAAAATAAAATTTTCTTAAATTTTTTATGTTTACCAACATAAAAAAAAAATAACTAAAAAAAAAAAAAAAAATGTAATTTGCATATTTGAAAAAAAAAAAAAAAAAAAAAAAAAAAAATTGACCCATGAAACCAGCCCAAAATATTCGAGCTGGCCCAACCCAACCCAATTTCGGGTTGAGGTTGGGTTGGGACAACCCAACTTGTAGCCCTAATCGCGAGTAAGTGAATTTTAGAGAGAGAAACGAGTTGATTACAATATAGAATAGATGTGTGTTGTGTGTCTATTATGTGTTGGATGAAATATAGGTTGAATATTATCCATATTCAATCATGTTGACCTTCAAATTAAGTGGTTAAAAATTATTCAACCAATTTTTGACCCATCTTAAGTATAATTCACCCAAAACCATTAAAAAACGAATAAATATAGACGGATTGATGGTTTCTAACTCATTTTATCACCCCTAATTTGATCCTACATATTTATATCATAAAGTATTTATTAATAAAATACTTTAATATTTGAACAATGTTGATGGTATAATATCACCGGCCAATTAATATTTCACTTGCTAAAAATAAATAAATAAATTCTCTATGCTAATAATTTTGTTGTATGTTTTCTATTATTGATCTATCTAAATATTTTACTACACGTCTCTTACTTCTTAGTCAAATGTCACGAGATGCAATCTACTCTCTAAGGAGTGACACTGAGGGTGACCATTGATGCTCTAGTTTTGTCACAGTCAGCTTTTTATATATAATAAGATACAAACCCATTGACTGTGAGTCACCATAATTGTTTATTAATTTTGAACTTACTTACCTACAGAAATAATATATACATATGTACATATATATATATATATATATATATATATATATATAGACCTTTAAATAAAGGTCGTGACATGTAATGAAATCTGTCTCTTTTCTTCCCCCCTCCCCCCTTCTCTCTCTCTCTCTCTCCAAGCTTCAATTCACCTTTTCACTGAAAATATTTAGGTTCATTGAATTGGATTCAATTGTCACAAAATAATACTTTAAGATTTAACAAACTGAAGACAGTAACTGAACATGCATAGGATTAAAACTTCAAATTATCACAGATGAGTACATACCCTACAGTGATATTTTTAAAAACAAATCTGCCTTCATACAATACTTAAATATAGAAAACTCACAGATGAGTACATACCCTACAGTGATAGCATTATCAAGCAGGCCTTCTTTATACTCAATAGCTATATGCCCAACATACTGAAACCAGAAGAAGATGCACCATTGTTGGATGAAGAAGTAAAAGCCAAGGGATCTATTTCTTCATTGAAACACGCCACTCATTGATATTAGCCGCTTGAATAGGATTCAGTCTAGGAATTTCACGCTGTTGAAGGATTTCGAGAGTCTCTTCAGTTTCACCAAGAAGTTGAGCAGCACGCTGGACACTCTTCTCCCTCTCTTCTATGGCACTGCAAAAGCATTTCATAGTTATGACACGCGGTAAGTTAGTGAGGCAAGCACCCAATATATCCGCAATCATAACAGATAATTGCTCGAACAGTCTCTCGTCAGTTTGATTGTTGCTCCTTTCATGATTCAGCAGCACGGTTTTGCTGATTCTGTACATTGAATTAGCAGCAATAACCTTCAGATTTCCATTCATATTTGCCCTGAATTCCTTGACAATACTTTCAGCCATGCCAGCAAGTCTCTCGAGAGTCTCCTCTGAGGTTTTTCCTTCAAGAGCGATTTTTCGGAGATCTTCATCTAGCCACTTGCCGGAGAGATCAACTTCTGACCACACACTCTTTGCTGCATTTCTGATGTTTACCAAGTCAGCTTCGGAATCAAGGATTTTTTCTACTTGTCTGACATACAAGAGGCTTTCATTCACGTTGCTTTGCAACCGCTCCATCTTCTGATTTTCAATGTTGGGAAGTGCCATGGCGATGCTTGTTAGTGTAACCAAAGGCAAAGTCCAACAGTTAGGAGGTTCTTCAGAAAGCAGAGATGGAATTTGGTTGCTGTCAAAATTCGCCACCCCCTTGAAACCCGTAGATTTTCCTAAAAGCTCTTTAAGAAATTTAGGCGGTTTCTTTTTGCCTATCTGAATCAAATTATCTGCAGCATTGTTGATGGTCTTCATGATATGTAGGGGTATTTCCTCCTCACCGTCGAGATACAGGACAAAATCGCTATGATCGACCAGTTGTGTACCAGGTTCGGGTTCCGATTCTGATCCTGTGTGATTGCTTGATGCATTAGATTTAGACAGGATCTTCCTCTTTAAGACCTTGCAGTAGCTGAAACATGAAAACAACAAGCTTGGTAAGAAACTGGAGATGAGCAAAAGTGATTTGCTAGCTGTGACAATCACAATCTGAACTCCAATACAGAAGTTGAGAATTCGATTCTTCGTGTTGTGAACAAATTTTCTGAATTTTTTGCTCCGGAAGCATAAAGCCAAGGGGCTGTCTCTCCAACCTACCAGCCTTCGGGTCCAGTAATCCTCTGTTTTCCACTCTGTTTTGTAGCTCTTGCCTCTTCTTACTGAGCACTTCGATTTTATGACAATAAACCATCTAAAAACTGGGGCAATTGTACCTACTCCCACCCCGATAGTCTGAATCACAAGAACGAACAAGATTGACCACTGATAATCCGAACTGTTATTCCAATTGAGAATGAAGAAATCGGCTAAATTTGTGTACGTAAACCACAGATAGGTCCTGAGTTCCGCTTCTGCTAAAATGATAGTAGTGAGAGAACATATTGCCCCTGAAGCAGAGCAGGTCACAGAACGAGCTATCACAAATTGAGGACTACCTGTTTCTGCCATCATCCAATATTTTTTCACATAATCTCTCAATTTTTGGACAGTTACCATTCCAATATCCTCCAACTCTACTTCGCCTGAAGTACTTTGATGTAAATCACTATACTTCAATTGTAAATGTTTTTTAGTGGTTGAAACCGTCAGAGCTGAGAAACTCAATATTACAAGCAAAACAAACATCAAAAACATAACTGCAATATGTTCAATCATAAGAAAACTATATAATAGACCAGTGCCTAATTGGATGCAGACATTCCCAAGAATGGTAATTACGAGAATAGCCAAGGCTATCACGTTCATTAGAATTTCTTTGTCATCCATTTTACCTAAAGATGGCATAAAATTACCTATTGCTGTACACATGAAGGCTGTGCTGCTAAGTTTTGCCAGCTGATCCTTTTTGCCTGGAATGTTGGTACTTATATCCACAGCCAGCTTCATTGCCACGGCTAATATTGTCAGAGAAGCCGCATTGAGAGTGAAAATTTTGCATGGAAACCACAGTTTTTTGTGGCGGAACCCGTGGAAGGCATCACCAGCCATTGCTAGGGAGCAGACTAGAGATGCCACTGCAACATAGATCCCGATCCATGGCATGGGTGCTTTGTTTTTCATTTCTTGTAATTCCTGCCAACATTTGGGTTCGTCGTAGTAGGGGGGGTGGGAACAGTCGTAATCCATGTTGATGTTGCTAGAGATCGGGTTGTAGTTGTTGATTGTGCTGATGCTGCTATTTATAAACAGAACTAGGTGTCGTGGATTTCTTCCATTTTTCCTTGAAGCCACCCGGAATGCGATTGGGGTTGCATTTGCCAAGTAGATTAGGGACAATTTCTGCTATATTTTTCCACAAAGCTACAGGAAATTGATAAGTTTACAAAACATATTGTTTCATGCACCAAAATAAATTTTGAATTAGATTTTTATATTATTTAAACATTCTTATATGGACGTTTTGTGTTTTACAAGTGTTAATGTATGAAAAAGAATAAAAGAAAGTAAAAATAAAAGTGAGGAGAGAGAAAGAAGAAAAGTAGAGAAGAAAATAAAATAAAAGTCAACAAATGTGTGTACAAGTAAAGAAGAGAAATGAGGAGAGAGAAAGAAGAAAAGAAAAGAAAAACAATAGTTAGTTATTTTGTGTATACGTGCGTGCACACGAATGAAAAAAAAAAAAAAAAAAGTCAGCAAAGGTAGGTATAAAGAAAAGATGAAGTGTAGATATAGAAGTGGTTAATGAAGTGGTTAATGAAGTGGGTAACAGAAAGGTGGCATGAAAAAATGAAAGAAGAAATATAGGCAAAGCCATCATCATAGCCTACAAATGGGTTACTCCCTTTAGCTATAAATTGCATACTTCATAGAGAGATAAGGGATGAGGTTTTTAGATAGTTTTTAGTTCTCATTGTAGTTTCTTTTTTTGTGTAATTTTTATGCAAGCTTTTCTCATTTAATACAAGATGTTTTCTTAAAGTTTTTCTTCTCATTCAATTTAACGCAAGTTAGTTTTAATACCCCTAATTTTAAAAGGATAGTCTCGGCATTTTAATATTTATTTTATTGCATTTTTATTTGTTTCATTGTTAATTTTATTTGTTTAATTGTTTAGTTGCATTTATTATTTGATATTGAATTAATTGTTATTATGTGAATTATTTGACTTATTTGAATTGTTTAATTATTGTGTGTTATTTTCTTTAATTGCTTAGTTGTAGTTTTTATTTGAGATTAAATTATTGTAATTATTATAATGTTAAAATTAGGTTTATTAAATTAGTGTTACGATTATAGCTTTAAATTAAATTCACGTATTAGCCGACTTAACAGTTATATGTTCCTTCCTGGATCATATTAGAATTAGGGTTATATTTTTACTGAGTCTATAAATATGTCATTACGTTAGGCTTAGGGTTTTAAAAACATATAACCATAGTCTGCTCACGTAAAGAGGGGGTTGAGAGAACAGAGGCACAGTTAGGGCTACCAAGGAGGAAAACAGAGAGGACTGAGGAGGTTGATCATGGATTAGAGCCGGAGTAGTAGGAGGCTTGACGGTATTCAGTAGTTGGCGGAAATTCAGAAACGTTGCCGAGATTTCATAACTGAAATCACAGGCAAATTTTTTTCTTTCTCTCTCCCGTTAGCTTGTGTTCTGTGCACCTAGATAGTCTCTAGGGTTTAATTGATCTTTAAATGAAACTTGCATGTTTATTATATGTTAAATTCATGGTCTGTATGCATTAAATCAAATCTGTTACAGTTCGTGCAAGTCTGGGTTTCAGTTTGGTCTTTAAGCATGTTAAATCGGTAGCGTTTTTAATCACTGTAATTGATTCCAACTATTGTAAACAAACCATTGGGATGCTATTGGGTATAAATAAGACTCTTAGGTTCAGTATTAAAGAGGAACAGATGAGTTGGAATGGCCAGAGACGGAGCAGATGGGCTGAAACAGAGTAAAACTGGACTGGAGGCTCTCAAAAAGGGAGAGAGCCAGCTCCATGGAAGTAGGAGCCGGCTCCCACACCCTTAGAGCCGGCTCCAAGAGGCATGGAGTCAGTTCCTTGCATTAGGAGCCTGCTCCCAAGTTTATGGAGCATGCTCTTTCATTTTTTGTTCATTTTGGAATTTTTCGGCGTACTGTTTCAGCAATATTTGGATGTTTAGATCATTCCGATAAATTTTGGGACTTTATTGGGGGTTTTACTAATTAATTTTAGGGGTTACCAAGATCTCTAATTGCATATGTTACCCCATTATATTAATGGAATTAACAGTGCGCAATTTAACAACTTTGCATGCTGTTAACGGTTGGAAGGAAATTAATTGCTTAATTTTAATCCGGCGATTTAATGGATTATAAAATGATTTTAAATCTTGCTTTAGATGCACAGTAGGGTCTTTTATTTAATAAATTGGACGTATGCATACTTTGAACTTTAGTTGCTAAACTACTCATTAAAATTTTGTAGTTTACATGGTTTTGAACTGGATTATACTTTAGATTTTAATTGCTGAAATATTACACATTATTCTGCAATTAACTGGATTATGGTTTTGGATTTTAATTTTTGAAATAATTATACATTATTCTGTGATTAACTGGATTTTAGTTTCAAACTTAAAATACTGAAATATTATACACTATTCTGCAATTTCCTGGATTATGGTTTTGAACTAGATTATGGTTTTGGACTTTAATTGCTGAACTGTTATTTAGGTTCTGTAATTAATATGGATGTTGTGGATTGTATGCACCGGTATGGGACGGTGGCATACTAGGATGGTTTAGCTCAAAATGCTAAAACCTACCCTATTGGAATAAAGGAATGGATTGTAAAAATTAAATCCTACTTATATTTATGTCAGATCAACTGAGTAAGTTGAGTGACCACCTGGATTAACTGTTGGATGTAGTTAAGTCATTTCAATTGAATAAGTTGAGTGACTAACTAGATTATGAATCGTATGTCAGATCAATGAACAATTGAGTGACATACTATGGTTTTGGACGGACTTTAGATATATGATTATGGTACCACGGTGTGAGCTTGAGTCTCATAGTCGATGGTTAGGGCGCGTATATGCAGTGAATATCCCTTAGTGTGGATATATATATATATATATATATATATATATATATGTATGTATCTATATATATATATATATATGTATGTATGTATGTATGTATATATAGACTAGATAGATATTGTTGAGATATCTAGGGTGTATCTGCGTATCAGGTCACTGTATGGATTGCAGTTGGATTAGAACTTGTTCGTAGGCCTGACCCACTTTTACATTTTTCAGGTATCGGACGGTTCTAGTCTTAGGCTTGATCGTGCGGAGCAAAGACTATCATTTACTCTACCGACGACATAGGATTTCATTCTATGTTTAGTTTTGGTTTTATTTCCAGTTATGTTATGTTCAGTTGGGATTTGATTCAGGAGTCCACTAGATGGATTCCCGAGTTGTACTCTTGGTGGTTTTAGAGAGTTGAATTTTATAAATCTTTAACTTTGGAGGATTTTATATTTAGTATTTTTTTCAGCTTCATTATCTAATTCTTAAATTTTTTTTATATTCTGTGTTCGTTTTAAAATATTAATTGATTGATATTCCCTTGGGTTTGGGGCTTGGGCCTAATTAACCCGTGTCTCGGATCCGAGGGGTATCACAGTTGATATCAGAGCACTCTAGGTTCAAGTGTCTCTAGGGTGTTTTGTATTAAGACTTCCGCGTAGCGTTTTCTCTTGATTAGATCTTAAGTTTAGGATTCATCGTATTCCTTTACGGTTCGTTTAGAAGGTACTGATGTCAAGTTTATTCTGTAATTTCAGAATGTTTGGCACTAGGAAAAAGATGTGGTCCGCGATGAAAGCAAAGAAAGACCCATGGAAGAAGAAGGGTACTCCGACGATTCCCCTACTAAGGTCTACCAAGAAGGCAGAATTGGAGACTAAGGAATTAATTCCAAGAGGTGTTGTTTCGGAGTATAAGTCAAGGAAGGTTTCTGGTGTGCGAGATTGGCCACCATACTGTAGACCTAACACAACTTCGGTGGTGCTCGAAGCTGAGCTAAGCGGAGAGGAAGACCCTAAAGAAGATCAAGATGGAGAAGATACCGGAGCAACCAAGATGGAGGGCACCGGTGTTTAAAGATGAATGCTCTTCTAAGAGTAATTTTAATTACTAGTAGTAGTGGAGATATTACTAAAAACGTAGTACGGGTTTAATCACGTATACTAGTATTTTGTTAAAGAATATATTACGATTATTCGTTTGACAGTTTATGGTTTGGAAAAGTTCTTAATAAAGTGAACTAACGGTTTTGGCTATCTTTATTGTGTTTTGTGATAGCATTTTCGTGATATATACACATATGGTTTTATTAGACTATATTGAGATGTGTATGTTGCGATAATAGATGATTATCACAGTGGAATGATTGGAGTTTTTGAACAGGCAAACAAATATTTGCTTGTAAGTACATTGTATTAAGACAGGATGATTACCAAGGAGTTTATAAAAGAACTTGTATAAATCAATATGGTAGGTTTGGTTTAGAAGGAGGAATTCCCAGGATAGAATGATAATCTAAAAATGAAAAGATTGCGGAGCATTTTGTTTTACCTTAGGTGTTTTGTTCTACGGAGTATTCGAAAACATTTGGGGATATAGATTAAGGATGACGACGCGGGTATGAAATAAACCTCAGGGTATTTTTACACCGTTAGGCAATACTGCCATTTTACATGAGAGTGATAGGCCTGTGACACTAGATATTAGTAGACTCAGATTTCTATCCAATCTTTTGGTCCTGGACATGCACACTTATGACATAATACTTGGGATGGACTGATTATCTCACTACCATGCCCAAGTTAATTTTTTTGGATAAGTCTATTGTGTTCACCATACATAGTCAGGATATGTACGCCGTTGCTATGCCACGTTCTAACGGAGTTACTAGCACTTATTTGTTCCATATGGATGAGGAAACGGAGGAGGAGATTACTGTATCTTTGGATAGCATACCA